TCAGCGTGCAATTCCAGTTGAGAGATTTACAATCAGACGAGCCCAGGCATGTGGCCTGGCGTGTGGTAGGTGGTGGATGGTGTTAGCACCAGAGCCTGCAGCAGGAGTGGGGGCTGCGTGTCCTTCGGACTTTCATTGCAATGAGAAGGTGTCCCGGTCCGGCTCTCTGCCTGGGTCCTGCTGTGCAGGTCCTCAGAGGTCAGAGGCTGGCGGGTGGGGATGATGCAGGACACCCAGGGCCTCCGCCAACGCATCAGCATGGCTCCGACCCATGCTGAACCTTTTTACATCAGCAAAGCGCACAGGTCAGGCCCAGACAGGAGCAGAGCTCGGGCAGCTGGCCGGGACCGGGCAGTAGCCCAGATGTAGCCCTGGCCAGAGCTCAGCCTTGGATACAAGGAAGAATTTGAATGTAGTCAATTTAACTCTAAATAGACAGCATGCATTTGGGGGCACATCTAAGTCGGGGTGGTCTTCTCACCGGACAAGGGAGCAGCCATACATCTCCATGGACACACGTGCTGGGCACAAGATGCCCTGCCGTGCCCCCGGTGTGCGGCAGGGCTGACGAATGCTTTCTCAGCACTGACTCCTGCCTCGACCCGGAGGGCAGCACCAGAAGACAGAAGGTCGGTCTTGTCACAGCCCTCGTGTGACCGTGACTGCAGCCTGCCCGCCTGGCACCCTGGAGCACAGAGCCAGGGGAGCTGGGTCCTACCGGGGCAGGAGGCAGGGCTGACGGGGAAAAGGCCCAGCCAGAGGTCCGTTACCATCCTGTCCTGCCTGATTTCCACCCTAAGGGGCCTGGAGCTCTGCCTGGCTCCGGTTCACTTTCCTCACTGCCACCTCAGGGCCCTGGGTCTCCTGCGGGCAGCCTGGGCCTCTCAGGGCTCACAATCATCAGCCAGAGATCAAGGGCCACAGGGGCTCAGGCAGGGCTGCCCGGCCAGTGCTGTGCTCTGAACCCGGACAGCATGGCCCGGCCGTGCTCCTGGGACTCCGCGCCTGCTCCTGGACAGTGCCGCTCTGCGTGCCTCTGTGGTTTTGCTGCAGACCCAGACTGGCTTGGTGGAGTCTGGCAACTGCCCCTTCGCAGCCAGGTGACCCCGGCAGGGCAGGCCGTGTGACCTCTCCGTACCTCCATTCTGTCATCTGTCGATCACTGTTCGCATGAACAGATCCGCCAGCCAGCCCGGCAGGGGAGCCTGCAGCTCAGGGCCCAGCCCAGGTGGGCAGGTCCTGGGGGATCTTGGGGGTCGCCTAAGGCCAGCGCTGGCGTGATGGGGAGAATCCGCTGCAAAGCCCTGCAGACAGGAGGGGCTGTGGCACCACTGTTGGACGGATCCAGGCGGGGGGCTGCCCTTCGTTCCCAGCTCCAGGGAAAGGGGCTCCGGGCTCTCTTTAGGCCTGGGAAGAGCTGCCAGCTTCAGGGCGAGTCTGAGCAACAGAGTTCCTCAAGTGCACAGCCACTGGCTTGGTCCGGGGACCCAGCACCTCTCAGATCTGCCCTGGCCCTGGCTTGGCTGACTTCCACGTGGCTTGTGTGGATGGAGGGTCCAGGCAGCCCCCCAAACCAGGTCCTCAGGGAGAGGGACGGGCACTGGCCACTTTAGCTTCTTTGTGACATGCCTGCGCCTCCACGTGCTCAGTGTAAGCTCCTGTCCACTGGAAACAACACGGCAAGCTGTCACTCGGGAGACAGATCAGGGCTGGCAGGAGGCTCACTCAGCACAGATGGCCCTGCACACCCACCCCGGGCAGCCCGGGAGGAAGAACTGAGATCAGGACCCGGGGACCAGGTCTTCCCAAGGGACCAGCAGATGCCGGCCTTGTGTCCTGGTGCCCACTCACCTAAACTGCCGGACTCCCTCTGCCCTTTTTCTCTTTCCATTAGATTTGTATTTCTAGGATCCACAGCACTTTTCTCAAAAGTGAACTTTAAAATTCTTTAAAGCTTTATTTCTTTTTAATGGTGTCCAATATGTTGACAGGAAACACGGGCATGTTGTTAACTAAGTGGGGTCCAGTGTGGTACACGAGTCACCTGACATGCCGTGTGTGTGTCCATTGCTGAGCACCCCGAAAATCACTCTTAGCCCTTTTCAGGAACATGGCGTGCTGCTTCTCACTAGCGCCAGGGTGGGTAAGGGGGCTCCGGAAGCCCCTGCTGTCCTCACCCGGCATCTCATCCTCCCAGCACCCTCCTCCCAGAAGGGCCCAGCTCTGGAGTTCCACTTCTCAGGACTTCGAGGATACAAGTTCGAGTCCAGCCACTGTGCCCTGTGTCCAGCCGGGCAATGAGATTTCGTTCTCTGTGTGTCCCAGGACAAAGACCCCCAGGACGTCACTGCCTGTCCCGTCCTGCTTGGAGGTGAATAGCAGTTCTGCTGCGAGAGCTTTTGAGGAACCTGCACACTGTTTTCCAGCGGCTGGACTAACCACTCTACCACCAGTGCCCAAGTCCTCACAAAGGGAGACTGCCCAGGGCCAAGGGCAGGGACTTCGCTCCTGAACTGGACCAGTCGCTTTGTTTCCTATCTGCCCTGACGCAGGACCAGGCACCAGGACTGGAAGCCAGATGCCCCTGGGTCAGAGTCACCAGCTCCACCCTGTTCTGTCCGCACACCCAGGGCTGGAGGAAATCTCGCCAACACCCAGGGCTCTCGAGGCCGGGGGTCCCCCAGACGCTGGCCTTGTGTCCTGGTGCCCACGCAGCAGCATGCCCTGTGGGAGAGTCACTCAACACTGCGCTGCAGTTCCGCACTGCAGCCGGGCCACGTCTTGTACAATTGTGAAGGGGACAGGAAGTGAGGACAGTGGAGCTGTGACTGTCACTGACGGCCAGGAGCCTCTGGGTGCCCTACTCACCTGGGACACTGAGCGGTGGCCTGGCCCCTCCTGAGGCTCTGGGGCTAGGGATGGCTTTGGGAACCAGAGCAGGGGTCACACGGGCCCCGGGGGATCTCAAGAGGCTCTCCTGGGCCAGGACTGGAGCAGAGGGTGGGCCACATCCTCAGCCTCATGTCGGTGTCCATGAGCCCACTCAAGACGCCATCTGGGAAAGCGGATGTGCTTGGGACAGACTCATGGGCGGCTGTCAGAACTGCGCTGTGCGTATGATGCGGGTGTTTGGGGTCTGTAAGCTGTTCTAAATCTAAGCATGGAAAATGTCAAGTCATCTCACTATTTAGCTTGGGAAAAAAGATTTAGATTTATGGGTGGGTGTTTGAAGAACTTCTGTTTCATTTCAGATCCCGGCAGCCCCCTCAAAAGCCACAGCTGAACTAAAAGCCACTTCCCGAGTTGCTTTCTGCACTGGTCCTGGAAAGGCCACCCCCAAATCCCCAGCGGGAGCCAAGACACGCCGTGCCTGAGGGGGGCTCTTGAGGCACCAGTGGCTGCTGGAGCCCCCAGTGCTCCACGATGGCCCCAGCCTCCCAAGCTCAGCTCCGCATCCCCAGTCCAAGCGTGTGCTCCCCCAGACCAGGCTGCTGTGTTCTCTGGACCTGGACCTCGGCCTGGGCCAGTGGCAGCTGCTGCAGAGCAGCTCCACCCACAGGGACCTCGGGACTCGGAGCTGAGGCCCAGGGACAGTGCCGGGCTCTGACGGCCCAGGTCACCCTCAGATTTCCCAACTGCAGCTGAAGAAGGAGCCAGGTAGAAGCTTCTCCTGTTTTCCTAGGGAGCCACCTTGGATAGCACTTCCTCACAGAAGGCCTGCTGAGACACCTCCGTGACCATGGGGAACCCATAAAAAGGCAGCAGGATGCCACTTTGTATCCATCCCCGACCCGGGTCAGCTGCACCCTGCCTGGTGCAGGTAGGAAGTCGAGCCTGCTGTTCTGTGAGCAGAGCCCAGACGTGCGCCAGGCAGTGGTGTCGTCCTGCCCAGGTGTCCTTGTATGGACCACAATCCCCACCACCAGGCCCCCAGCCATAGGTCCACAGCTGCCCCGGATTGACTGCAAGGTGGCAGTCCCTCCTCTCTGCTTTCATTCTGCACACATCACTCCGGAGTGCTGTTGTTTGCTTCACTTCTGTCTGCAGAGCCCGAGTGAATCAGACCTCACGCCAGCCTCAGCCAAGCTGCGTCCTTGGAGCCAGGGCAGCGACATCCCCTATCCCAAAACGTGAAATCAAGGCA